AGGAATGCAACAATTAGCATGGATCCAATCTCTCTGCCCAAGAGTAGACTATATGCCCCTTGCCATCAATGACAAAAAAGGTAGTAATCGAGTTTTTGACCCAATAGTCATTTCGACATGGATAGCACCTCTCGGTATCGGAAGGATTGCCAAACAAAATCCCTAAGCACCATGTCGGGCCAAGTAATTCTTCATTAGTCATCCCAAGTTTCAGGAAGGTAGTATAAGGCATGATATTGATAGCAGCCCCTCCATCGACAAACATCTTAGTTAAAGGCTTGCCATTGACATATCCCTTTAAATAGAGTGGCCTCAAGTGACGATTCTTGATTGGTTTATCAAAAACGATTTCTTTGTGTTAATACAAGTCGAGCCATCAAATCGACATTCACTTTCATCAAAATCAGAGTACACCTCTTCTTGGAAATCTTGGCTTTCGGGAGCTATAAACTCTGATGGGAGGAAGAAAGCCATGCAAGCATTAGCCAAAGGACCACATCCATCAGGCTTCTTTTTAGGACGCCAAATTTGCTTTGTTTGGCAACTTCTTGTTCCAACTCCCTATTCCTCAATCGTTGTACTCTTCTTTTTCGGCTTTTCCTTAGGGCACGGAGGACACCACTCGTCCTTTTGCCATACGTATTTACAAAAAGTCACTTCTTCATTATGCACTCTATCATGAATCCAACTTTGAACTCGCAACTCTTTTCCTTTTCTTTGATTCTCAAAGCCACCTATTTTTAAGCTACCGATCATCTTGAGGAATCTTCGTTCCAAGTCTTTCATAGACGGACGGCGGTTGACTCGAGATTGCCTATACTGAGTAATTGAGCACTACACTCGGGACAATTATTTCTTGCGAGCAACCTCAAACCTTCATTCCAACAATGCCTAAAGAACGAACAACCCCAATGAGACTGCTCCTGTTCCGTCTGTATTCTTCTTGCTCCCTTTGGTATACTTCTTCCTCATACCTCGGCATTCTTCCATAAACCATTGTTTCTTTGTATTCCTTCTCTTTTCTCTCCGCCACTTGTTTAGCAAAATACGTGATGTAACTCGATTTGGAAGTTTGACCTTTCTCGGTTCGGCTATTCAAAGAAACCGAACTCGATGTTCTTGAGACTCTCATTGGTGATTTGCCGATCCGGGTCAACAAACACCACTCTCCTTTGCTCTATCGTAAGTCAACACTTTCACCTTGCCTTTACCTTTGAGATCATTGGCAGATACCACATTCACAGAGAAAGAAATCATATTTTGTGGAAAAAGGTCGATCATCAATTTTCATCTTGCCATCAAACCTCAAATGTCCCTCTTGGATAGCTTCGGATTCGCATTACGAACACTCGGCAATCATTAATAGAATGAGAATTAGTATTATGAAAGCCACAATATTTTTTGTCTTTCACTCCTTGAGACGTAACATAGGATGTCCTACGGTAACTTGATGCGTCCTTCCTTTATCAACAATGCAAAAGTCCGTCATGCGCTTTAGTAACATCAAAATCATAGGTTCCCTTTTGTTGTTTCAACCAGCGTTGACTAACTTGAGTGGGTTCCTTGTCCCAATTTAACTCAATTGCACTATCTCATCTTCATCAATATACTCGATCGCTTCATCCGTAAAGCCCACGATACACCTCATTAGTGGCATTGTTCTTACGAAAGCGATTATCTCTCACGAATCCTTGGGCTTGATTACTCATAGTCGCTAAACGTTTGTGCAAGTTGACCAAGATCATCAAACTCTAAACCGAACAACTTCTCCACGATATTTGGCAACATTCCTACTATAGCAATTCCGGGTAGTTGATCATCTGGTAAATTTAGAGAATAACACATATTCTTGGTCTCCCTAAATCTGCGAAGATACTCCAATGGTGTTTCATTTGTTCTCATCCTCGGACTCATGAGATCAACCAATTTCTTCTCATTGGTACCAGATAGAAATATGAATGAAACTTCGCTCTAGTTACGCTTACGTACCAATGGAATGAGCCGAGAGAGGCGTGAACCATGTGAAAGCCGGGTCTGTAAGAGACAAAGGAAAATATCGAATCCTCCATGCTTCATCCGGCAGCTTCTCCAAGTTGCATTAAGTACCGATTGATGTGCTCTATGGTACTAGTATCATCTTGACCGAAGAAAACTTGGCCAAATCTGTTGGAGGCTTCACCCTTGGAGGCAATGCCACTCTGTTGTACCATTCGGATAAGGAGATTTGTATGAATAGGATTGATTCTTTGGCTTCAAGCCGAACCGATTACGCATCATATCAGCCATCTGTGCATCAAAACATCAATACGGATCCTGGTTTCCTTGTACTTGCACTCCGTAAGGCAATCCTGAAACACTTCTATACCACAGGTTTGGTACAAAGCATTGGCAAAGATCATAATCAAGTAAATTCTTGATATCCATCTCCATACATATTCTTCGTAATCTATTTGATGCCGGAGAAACTCTATGTTTGAAAGTGGCACTTCTCCTGTGGTACCAAATGTCATCGGCCATAAGTGGGATGTGATTGCTTTTCGGTGTGAGTCAATCCACCTATATTTGAAGGCTTACGCTACTTCCTTTCCAACAGGCTTCTCTATGATGCTTTGGAACATTGAAAGCATCGGCCCACTAAGTGGTCCAACATTTTCCTCAAGTATTTATCAACCATTGGGCCAAAAGTATCGATCATGATTGCCCGAAAGGTATTGGAAAAAGCTGTGTGATGGTTTGTCATGGTTTCTCCCATAGCTTTATAAACCGGGGCTGCCATCTTTCGAGCATCCTCCTCTTGATGTAATCAGTTTGATGCGGAAGAAGAACCCTTGGCATTGACTGCTTTTGAAATACTTTATTGCTCTTGTTTTTGAAAAAGACATCAAGCACTTCCGTTGGTATTGCTCACACGCTTGTAGCACTAAATCCTTGTAATTATCTCGCAATTACGCCATGCTTACATCGAACATGATCATTGTTGATCTCAGATGCCATCTTGAACTAGCAAATGGTCCCACTGGGCGTGCCAAAAAGTGTGTTGACACAAAATGTGACGACCGTGTGCCGCACACACACAAAGACAGTAAAAGCGTAGCTTCAATTGGTGCCCGGGTGCTTCGTGATCCGGACGCGTGCCGGTCGATTTGACACTGAAAAAACCGACAAGGGATAAAACAGATTAAATGTCAAACCGGAACATGTCGGGTGAGACCAGATAGTTCAGTATATCTGACCACGAAGCCGGGTTACACAACGACATACGACTATAGGAAGTCATGCGCCAACAAGTTTATAAATCATTTGGCTAATCGTAGGATGGACATACGTAAAGATCTCGATTGCGAATGCATATGCATGGGAAGACATGTTTGAACAAGTGAAATTGATTATGCGTTAATGCATATCCAAGCTCAACAATCAAATTGAGTTGGGGTCCATGAAGAAGGAACGTGTAGATAAACACGATTAAGCCAATCTAAAACTCAAATACTCGCATACGACACCTAGTTTCGTCAAAAACTTAAAGCGTGATTAACATACATGAACCCACAACATGTGACAATCTAGATTAAAATAATTCAACCATTACGAGCATGTTATCTATTTGCAAAGGTATTATGAAAGTAATGATCATTGAAGCTCGAATAAAACCATAGAAGAGGGCGAACAATATCCATCTAGATTGGGCAAAAGTGTGCTACAAATATATAAAATATTTAAAACATGCAACACGGGATAACTTGATGAATCTATTTAGATTTTGCCGTAATCTAATAGAGCCGATAACCATCTTGCTTCCACTAAGCATATTGAGCAAACGCGCCGCATACGGTATCTACTCATAAACAAAGTATAAGCAAAGACTTCTTGATTGTCAAGCAAAGATCCGCCGCGATCATTGAAAACAAACAAGACTACTTGCATCACGTCTAAATCCACCGCATGATACTAAACATGATAACAAGGTTGTCGGAACTTACGGAGGTCGACGGATCGATGACTCCTCTCGAAGAACTCGACGACACGACAAAAGGACTCGAAAGTTGGCACGGGGCCGGTTGTATTGATTTGGTTGTGAACGCCTATTACAATGGTCGAGGGTCAATATTTATACCCTAGACGAAACACGAGTCCTAAAAGACTACGATTTACAAAGGAACTCTTTAAATAAACTTGGAAACTACGATTCCTTGCCCCAAACTCTCAGAGTCCTTTATTATTACAACTTTCATCTTCTCGATCGGCTTTGCTTGCCATCTTCTGCTTTCCCGAATGGAGTTACCGCCTTCCAGAATAACCGACCGCACAAGCATTTAGCCGACCGCTTGCGTTATTTGCCGAACACTCTTCTTCCTGCATGTGGGTCCACCTGTCATCTTCCAGAATTGACCAAAATCCAGTGTTAACAGCTGTGCTCATGTATGTGTGCTATGGCGCGGTTCGTTTGGCCGAAAAAGCTGAAATGTACTATTCGCTAATTTGATGTGATAGAAAAATATTGTATCATAGCTGATAGATAAAGAACTAATATGTGAGCCCATAATAATTTTTGAACTGTCAATATATAGATTGTCAGAGAGATATGATCTTTTAGCTGTCAAGGAGATGACACGTGGAGAGAATGAAGCTAACTGTTGGAAGCGCCCTAATGGAGCTAGCCAGTTCTATTGTGGTGCATATGCTTTTGCATGGACTTCCTGGCCAAACCTTCAAATCTTTTTTTATATAAACTTTTTTTTGATGCAGTTGCCTACATTGACGAAAACAAAAGAAAATTTAGCTTGTCAAACACAAATAACCGTCTTCACAATGTTGTTACCATGCTGATCCATTTTGCAGCCCAAACCCACAACAATATTCATCAAATGCACATTTCCGCAGAAAGCAATATACAGGACAACGAAGAGCATCGTCAGCTCTCTTCTCTCTCTTCAGAGACTAATAACAGCTGAAGTGTAGTTTGCGCCATATAGTTGCCTGACTTCTCTGAAGACGACTGGCTAACTCTCTTCGTCCACAACAATGGTCGCGCCCGAGCCAATTCCAAGCTCCATGAGAGAGGCCGTGTTCTCCTCAAGAAGTTGTGGTAGAGGGCATCCCTGTTCCAGTAAATACAGTAATCAACATACACGACTTTATGCATGAAAGGTACAGCTCCAGATCTTTTCGATAGGTATACTAGACAATAATCGTACACGATACAGTTACAGTTCATAACCTCTTCTTCGACAAACAGTCTCACTTTTATGCCCTTCAGTTTAAAGAAACTTTCGCACAAAGATTTTAACTTCCCGATCTGTACACATAGGAGTCTGAACATTATTTCATCTAGATACATGGAAGAACAAGCAAGGGTCATTGAATTACTAGGATCGCAACTTTTACTAGTTAGCAGTCAAATTAACATATCAATTGTTGCTAAGAGATAGCTCGAATAAAAATCAGGAAATCATGTCCCACGGTCATTGCACTGCAATATACAACTAAAACCTCCCATGTAGTACCAACAACCCGATAAATAAGGATAGCTATGTAGTACCAACAAGTACTCACAGTTGCTGTAGCAGGCAGTTTCTTTGTCAGTGGTTGCTTTTCACCCATTGATGGCCCCACACATTTCAATGTAACACCTGCATGCAACGTAAAAAAATCCAGTTCTTTCAGCTGATCCATCAACTGTGTAAATCTTGTCAAGATTAAAGTTCAAGATCAGTACTTATAAGACCAGAAGCCATCTTTTGTGGCCCCGATGTGCTTGAAGTTGGTTTCTCATCTTCAATACCATGAAAGGACTTCAGTTCAGCAAATCTGCATCAAATTTTTTTCTACCTCTATAAGTATGATTAACAATCTTACCACTAGTGATGCAACTATCAAGTACATGTCAGAAGTGAATAAAACTGATAGATGAAAGCTAGCCATAAAACCCTTAATTATTCTGCATTGCATATCCCATAGGCTATTCATGCCAGCTGCAGTTCTCGTGGTTAGAGATAATCACTGAATTATCATGATACACAGCATCATTGATGTTGATTCCATTGAATTTTGAATGGATGTGTTATGTTGTGGCTAATGATGGTCTCCGGTGCAATAACTGAATTTGATCATTTAAGCAACAGATTAGTGGTAAAGCTTCTGCCTTGTGACCATGAGGTCACGGGTTCAAGTCCTGGAAACAGCCTCTTGCAGAAATGCAGGGAAAGGCTGCGTACAAAAGACCCAAGTGGTCAGACCCTTCCCCTTCCCCTGCGCAAGCGGGAGCTACATGCACTGGGTCTGCCCTTTTAAGCAACAGATTAGTGGTGGCAAAAACACACCAAACACTGAAGCCAAACCAAACATATATCCTCAGTTTTCAGTTCAGCTGTAGTTTCTTGCAACATAAATGATGAAGAAAGCTAGGCCGATGCCACCTCGACATGAAGGCCAAGGCCCATTTGTTGCCCTCCGTGGTCTGATGGTGGCAACAAATGGCACCTATCTCTTGTAGCCGCCTCATTCATTCTTCTCTCGTTCTCCCTCTAGAAGAAATGCAAGTGGTGCCATGGATATTCACCGATGCAGTGAACACAAAAATCGATTCCCACATTCCAGAAGGTTTCTCCCTCCTTCTGTTCTTCTGTATTACTCTACCCCCCTCTCGCTTGTGTGCTGCTTAGTCTGATTCTGTCCCTCTCATATCTAATAGTCAGGCATCGGAGGTGTGGCAGGGGTCAGCTAGCTTAAGATCCACTGATCCACTGGAGACAGAGTTCAGGGTGTATGATTTGCCGGTGCTTCTGCTCTTCAGGAGCTTATCCTGAGGTCGCTTGCTCCAAGCCCTTAGTGGCATAGTATGACAAGTTGATTATGGTCGGGTTTTTATTTTCTTTTTGCAGTGGCGTAGTGTGAGTGGGGTGTGTTGGGAAGTTTTTTTCTAGCCATCCCGTTTTTGTGAGTTTTTCCTTTGTTAATGAAATGGCATGCAACTCTCCTGCGTTGTTCAAGAAAGAAAAAATCAGTGGAAACCAAGAAGTCTCACTGAACTATTGTGCTTTTGTAAATTTCAGAAATCGAAATTTCTTTGCTTTGTTTTTCGAATGTCAGGGGCCAAAATTTCCAAAAGCCAAAATAACAAAACCAAAAAAACTGAATGCCCACCTGGTCACCCCTAAAAAGAGTTATTCCCTCCATCCAGCATTCACAGGCGTACTGGTGTCTGGAAAAGTTTCCAGCATTCACAGGTGCAGTAGCTGTTGCATATTTCGTTTCCCGTCGCGTGCACTCACTCTTTCCACATGCAGTTACGGCGACTCATTTACCCAGCCAGCACTGCGCGGACTAGTTTGCTAGTTTGTTTCCAACTGCAAAGCTTTGCCCCTAATTATTACTACACATGCAATTGGATGGTGCGGCATGCAGGCCAGCAGCCAGTTTGCAAACCGAAGCGTTTTTGCGGCTGCGAGGAGAAGGATTAATGCGAGTTAATGATCTTGGTCTTGGTGAAAACTGTTTAAGAGCCTGTGAATACTGGATGGAGGGGGTATATTACAAAATCATGGATTGTTTCTTCTCTGGATCATATTGTGTCAGCATATACAATTTAAAAACATAAGAATGTGATAAATGCCACAAACTTACCTAGGGTGCAGCCGTTTGATCTCTTCTGGGTCATTTGATTCTATTTTTCCCATTACAAGGCGGACATATCTACAATGACAGTGCTTGTATCAGAATTGCAGTGTGACTTCAAGAAAGGCAATTGAAGGGTCTTTTTTATTTTTATTTTTTAAAAAAACGAAAGACTGTAGTAGCATTTCCTCAGAGAACCAAAAGAAAACTCTGCAGTTCAGATAGAGGAAAAAACATTTTAAAACTTCCATTAATACTGATCTGATATCCTGACTGACCATACCACAAAGAAACCTCATATGATCATATACTAGTTGCAACAATTTACAGATACAAAGGATCAACTCACAGTATTTCAGATTCCCTCCGTTCACGTGGGCTTATCTAGACATGGCAAGAAGGATTAAGGATGTCATACATCTGTGCAGCATATTGTACATTCTAAAAAAACATCCAGTGAGTTGGCATAAACCTCACTGCCATTTAGTATTCCAACTTTTCCAACTCGAGCAACAAGCACAAAACGAGGAGCACCACTCTTGGCAGGATCAGCTATAGGATTATCAGAAAGCCTGACATCCTTCAAAAAATTAGAGATCAGTACGGTCATACCAATGTATTATAGATCAGCAACAAGATTCCAAACAACAAGAGTAGTTCACTGAAACCATCTCGCCCTTAAACTTGGGAACAGAAGTGAATCCACTGAAGAAAAGTCATCTATGTCATTAGATCCTGGTGAAGTAAAAAAAATCAATATTAGCACAGTGTATTCAGTTTTTCTCCCATTTGAAAAGCAGGAAGCACTAGTGCAGTACTAAAGTTAAACAGAATCATGCTCAAATCTTGGGTTCTTTACATGGCAAAGACAACAAAATCTACTCCCCCCCAACACACACACAGAGAGAAGGCATATACCTAACAAAAGAACTTGCAAATTTTCAAACGGCACAGCAGCTGCATCATCAAGAGATCCATCTGGCAAAAGATTAGATGGATACTTGACATATGCTTTAACCTGTTTTTGTTCAAATGGAGTTATTCCAAACTGGAGAAACAAGGGAGAGAAATGATAAATATTCACAGTACCCAAATCAAATGCAGAAGTATCAATCAAATCAAGGGTGGAAACATTAATATTTCCATTTTTACCTTCTTAAGTAAGAAAGTTTCACAATTTCATCCCATGAATTAATGTGATTATCTTCTAAATTTAGGAGCCGCAGTGTATTGAAAGCTTGTACAAATTTTCCATCTGGGGTCTAGATAAGAAAGCGAGATACAGTTAGATGTACAAAATATCATAATTTGTAATGTTGATGTACACCTTGCTGAAGCAAGAAAAACATGCGCTTGAAATGTTGGAAAGAATAATCCAAAAACACTTAGATGTGGTCTCTATTATCATCGGATGCAGATGGAACTATGGAAGCTGTGGTATAAGAGGAAACACTAACCATGATCATATTGAACCTGTTTGACATCAGGTGGAGTTCACTGATACATGAAAAGGAAACTTTAATCTTTTCAATCTGTTATAAAGAAGTTAAAATGAGCTCACAGTGTGATTGGCAATGACTAACAACAAAAGCTTCAAAGTGACAGCAATTGGGTATACCAGTTCCCATGTTACACCACAGTTGTTGAGAACAAGAAGTTGGATATTCTCGAGCATTGGAGTTTCTGCAACATCATTCTCCATGGTATTGTTTGTCAAATTAAGAACTTCCAGGGATGCCAGTGCTTGACAAAGAGAGGATATAACCTGAGACGGAACCAAAATGTTTAGAGACACAGCAAACAAACAAACAGTTAAACAAGAAGGACAGGGGATATACTGCAAACATTTGGTAGTACCACCAACAATGTTTCTCTTGTTGCTTTGATGTTATCATGTTATATAAAGCCACACCAATTATAAGTAGAGCAATTGAAATAACAAGAATCGTTCTGTGGGAATTCTTACTTGCCACTGTGAGAATAGATTTCCAGTTAAGTCAAGAAATCTGAGATCTGGAACATGCAAAACAGCTTTAATAAGTCCCTGAAGAAACAAATGGTAGCAGAACCATCAGCTCCAGTTGCTACACACATTATGGCTTATTTGCAAAAAAAAAAGCAGTAAAATGGACAGGATGGTGATAATTCATAAGACAGTATTTACTTGGAACCAAACTCTTTAGTTCATCCGGTGCTCCGATTGAGCTCACTCCCATGTTCGAAACGGATGCACTGGTCAACTCATTGAAGTTGTTGAGCTTCTCCTGAACTTTGTCTGTGCCAACAAATTCAACCGAGACACGCTTCTGGCTTGTCGAGAAGACATACATCTCATCTGAACACAGTGCGGCAAAGCATGTAATCAGGGTCATTACATAGGAAATTCAACAAAGTGCGATAATGTTTGCCCAAATATTTCTACTCCTTTGCTGAAAGGAACTGAGCATTGCCGGATCAAAGGAAATGTGAAGGCAGCAAATTCAGGGAGCCGTCGGTCGGCAAGCGCTGCACTAACCCTGTTCCTCCTTGGTGAAGTCCTGAACGCGGTAGCGTAGGCGGAGCGCGTCCCGGAGCGAGATCCCTCCGCTGAGCGCGGTGGGGCGCGCGAAGGAGGCCGAGCACTCTCCTGCGGCGACAAAGTATCGGCGGCCAGCGAGCGAGCCGTCGTGCCGGCCGCCAGCGCCATCGTCCCAGTCGACACCGACCCAGTCTCCGGCGTGGCCCTCTACGGGGCCCAGGTAGCGCACCGTGCCTACGCGGCCGGGGTCGTCGGCGGCGTGCACGCGCTGGCCCAGGCGGAAGGCAGCGGCTTGGACATGACTGGACCCCTGGAAGGTGGTGGGCAACTGGTGATTGGTGAGAGGCGTGATGAGTGAAAGGGCGTGTTTGTTAGACCGGACGTCGGTAGCATGTATGGACCACCCCAGCCAGGCTGGATAAGGCCAGGCCCAACAGGTGCAGCAGCATCTTGTTCGGTGATTTTTTCCAACTTCGTCATGTCTATGCGGGACTGTGTCTGCTTGGTTTTGTTGTTAGTGTTCCCAACCACCTCCAAACTGCCCGGTTGAAAGGGTGTTTGGTTCTCTGGATAGCTCGTCATGCAGGCCAAGATCACAGTTTTCATACAAGACAATAGAGGAGATGTTGCAACATTACAATAAATAGCCATGGCAATGTAGTTTAACAGTAGTAATTAGATGACAGTTTACACAAGTTAAGTGACATTACAACATGATAAATCACAGAGTACAAGTACTAAATAATTGATACATGCAATAACAATTACTCTAACAGCACTGCATCTGTTTAGCCCCATCCACATCACAGCAACCAAAGCACAAAGAAAGAGTATGATCACATTTTTATGACTCATTGGAGAGGTTGTTTCTCCACTTTCAGTGACACTTAAAGAAGAAGGTTTAGAGGAAGGCATTGAGTTGATTGTTGAGTTGAAAGCAGCCATTGCTTCGGCATAAGAGCTGTACTTCTTATGCACAGCTCTATGAACACCTAGTACATGCTCACTGCACTCAGCTCAACTAGTGTACACACCAGGTTACTTTCCAACGAAAACAACATACCAAGCACACATGGTTCTGCAGTTAACAACCAGCAAAGCCTTAGTCCAAAATGTTTCAAGTGCAAGCCATCGGTTTGTTCAATGAGGTTGTCTAGTACAGTTGAAGTGGTAGACAAACTCAAGAAACAAACTATTGGAATGCACATGGTAAAGGTGCAGTAGACATCACAGGCAGCTCTAGAAATGCCTCAGTTGTTCATCTATTGCATCACAGGCAAAAAAAGTATGTGGCCTCAGACTATATCATGATTTAATACCTTCTCATAACAGTCACGGGTGGCACCGATGAAGTAGCAAATAGAACAAAACAGAGGAGGGCGTGTTTGTTTGCCTGGAGAAGCCAAATGAAAACCAAGATCATGACATACATGGAAGCATGAGAGATGTCCAACCCAAGCCGTCAGAGCATCAGTGAGAGCAGTTGCTTGGGTATGGGCGTCTCACATGTTTTGATGACAGGCATAAGAACCAAGAAACCAGCACAAAAGAAAGATAGAAACATAAGCAGTGCCACCTCTATAACAGATGTTTGTGTCATCATCGGCCTTAACCAACAGGAAACCATCACAGTCAAAATAACCAACTTCATGATAGCCATAGAATCGTGAGACACATCCAACCCGAGCCATCAGCAAAGAATAGAAAGAGCAGTTGCTTGGGTATAGATGTATCTCATGGTTTAATGACAGCCATGAGAACCACAGTCACCAGATCATAAGGACCGCCACCTGTATACAAAATTGTGTCATCATCGGCCAGAAACATCACAATCAGCAAACCAACAAGAAAACCTACAAGAAAACTAGCAACAAAACCAGCAAAAAGATTAGGTCCAACTGATTATATTACAAATTACATGGCATGTAGCCACCAAATAGTTCAATAGTTCAAATGATAGGGGTCCATGGATCATCCCCACATTACTTCCAATTACATGCTAACTATAGTTACCCACCTCCTCAATCATAAAAGAACCACAAACCCAAAAGTAGTGTGTTAGGCCGTCAGTGCTGCACAACTAGAACACAAGAGCAAAAGTCACCAAAAGTCAGTCAAGGAGAGTGGTGGAGGGTAGAGGACTACATATATAATCCTCAATTGCTTTCCTCCAAGTCCAAGGCAGGTCCTAGAGCATCTACATGTAGTAGTGCTTAGCATGGAAGGTCCTTAGCCAAAGAACCCTGTGACTGTCAACCATCTTGACATAGGCAGTGGCCTAGGCTTTGTTGTCCAGCAGGTGGGAGAAGGCAACAATGAGGGCTTCCTCACTAAAGCCAGACATGTCCATCATAGCATGATACAAGTCAGCATCCACATGAGCAGGGCCAGTCTCTCTAAGGGCATTGGCTACATTGTTCACTACATCTGTCATGTTGGTCATGGTGGGGACCTCCTCCTCACTAAAGTAGGGCCTCTTCCTCTTCCTACCACCATTAAAGGTAAGCAGCTCAGTTGCCTTGCTGCCTTCCCCCTGATCAATCTTCTCCCTAGCAGCATGGTTGCCATATGACCCTTCCACTTTTCCTAAGCCACTGTCAGCCTGGTAGGAGTTCACACCTAAGGGCCCATTTGAGCCAACAGCAAACCTACCGGTTGTCATACCATTACTAAAGATGGTTTGCATCTCATCATAGAACCTCAGGGGGGTGTTTAGAAGCTCAGCATCTTTTGGGTGGTCCTGTAGTTATTATTTTCTAGGCTGTTAGTCAAGGCAGTGAACAACACAGAGAAGAAGAGAGGCAGTTTACTAATGAACAAGTACCTTGATATGGCCAATGTAATGCTTAGGATCTAGCATGATTGCTTTCACATCCTCATCCCAAAGGGCTCCACTAAGGTCCTTAAGCTTGCAGATTCTACCCCACCTCTGCCTCCACTTCCACAGGTGGTTGTACACCTGGGTGGAGGTCACTTTCTCACCACTATACTCTCTCAGGAGCTTGGCTACCTGGTTCACCTCGTTCTCCTTAAATCCCTTATTAGCTCTAGCCCCACTCTTAATCAGTTGGCTCATCCTCCTAAGGACAAAGCCTGAGGTGTTGGTTGTCCACCTCATTGCTACCCTAGCTGCTACACCAGCACCATCAGTAGCACTAGCAGTAGGAGGAGCATCAGCAGGAAGAGCAGCAGCATTAGCAGAAAGAGCAGCAGCAGGAGGAGGAACACCAGCATTTGCACCAGCTGGGGCAAAGGTAGACCCACCAGGCAGCATTGCAGATGCAGCCACAAACCCAGCACCAGCACCACCATTTCTAGCCATCTAAGTTCCATACATAGTGCAACAGTCATCATCCAAATAGATAATAGTAAATAGCAGGGAAAATAGATTTGCATAAGCAATACAAGTCTCAGGTGGTGTCCACAAATAAAACATTACACATGTCCAGCAATGAAACACTAGTACCATACAAGGCAGCCTTAGTTTATTACAAATCTCCAGCAAGGAAACATGAAATGCATAGCTAAGTCCTAGAAGCCCCCTAGATTCCCACATGGCATCTCAGATCCCATCCCTAACTAAGGCCATGCTAGGCACCTCTTGTGACTAAAGTGCATTGACAGCTGGACCAGAATAATAAGAAGAAGCAGGGTTTGCAACCCACTCTACTTCAGTTGGGACCACATGGTCAACCCCAAATCCTAGGATCCAATTGTGTAAAATGCAGTAGGCCTGAACAAGCTTTACTTGAGTCTTGTACTTATGAAACGGCTTGTTATCTATGATTCGAAAATGATTCTTCAAAGCACCAAAGGCCCTTTCAATGGTCACTCTAAGGGAGTTGTGCCTCAGGTTGTACAGCTCCTTGACATTAGTAGGGTTATGCTTAGGACCATATTCAGACAGGTGATACTTGACACCCCTATAAGGAGACAGGAACCCTGGTCTGTGTTGACGGTAGTTAACAACCATTATAAATCATCAATAAAACATGCATAAGGGCACAATTGAGATTACCAACAAAGGTCTAGGGGTTTAAACTAATAAATTCCATGAGTTTTGGTGACTCTATGATTTCTGCAGGGTTTATCTAGAAAACCGTCAAGGTGGACCTACATGTCAGATTTAATTGTGCTTATCCACCGTGAAACAGACACTAGAAGGTTCTAGAGGACACCAGAGGATACCATGCTAAGGTAGAGAGCGAGGGGCTACCAGGTGGACCTACAGGCTGCTCGACCCCTAGGCCCACCTGTCGGTCTCTGTGTTGCAATGTCAGTTCTTCACCGCCTCCTAGGTGACATCTACGTCGTTCCTTAAGTCGGTTTGATCCAAGGGCTCACGTTGGACGCTCCGGGCTATATAATCAGCCCCTGCCCCCCTGAAGGCATCAAGTCATTTGAGAAGATAAAAACCCTAATCATCCTCAAAGCTCCATCATATTCTAGGGCATAGCTAGTTAGGCTAGGTCTAGAGGGAGGCAAGCAGGCTTCACTTGGATTCCTGATCGTGTCAAGAGCGTAGTTCGGTATAATCTTTGTATCCCTTCTCTCTTTTGTATCTCCATTACTTTTATATGCTTGCTACAATTGTTATGACAATATTAGTATTCATCTTATTCATGTTCTTCATTATAATGTTCATTGTCTACTTTGAGTATATACCTAGTATAGTTGGATTATCATCATATTCATGCATATGTTCGTATAGCGCTCACCCTAAGGATCCATGGGTGGGTGGTCAACATTGTGTAAGCATGGTGCTTATATGTTGTTTACCTGCGGATATACCCTATATTCTGGGTCATGTGGTAGATCGTGGACGTGACACTCCCGTTGAGTCCTTTGTAGTCCACTCCCCGATGTAGGTAGCACGTAGAACCTGGTTATGAAGGGGGACAAGCTCTGTTATTAATCTCCCTTAGTAACATCCCTTATGTGTAGATATGAAGGTGATCTTAGCAATGACTATTAGGTGTAATTGCACTAATCAATGTATGCTTTGACTTATAATTAAGAATGATTTAGGAATTATTCCTCTAATATTCTACCTGACCATGCTAATGCCATAGAAAGGAGTACTCTAAGTGATTTATCATTATCATTGATCAATACTTATCATATATATATCTTATCCTATGACTTACCCCTGTTATGAGTAGAATATTAGTTATGATTTATTTCTCCATTAATAGTGTAAGTTATCAATACTTGTCCATGCTAGACCTTCCCTATGGTAAAAATATAAATAATGATACCTAGAATACTCTCAGGTGAAGTGCTACAATGGTATATTATTGGTGCGCTTGTAAATCCTTTTTCATTCATATCTATATATTCTTTTTAGTCACATGAAATAATAAAGAACTACTTAGAGTTATTCTAATAGTAATGCTAGCTAGTACCAACAAGTATCTCTAGCATCATCACTAGGGATGACAACCTAGTAAAGTAATGTTAGGAGATATAAGTTTATAATAGGTGGCTACTAAAACAAGTGACAAGTTAATAAATATCAACAAGCATTTCTAGCGCCGTTGCCGGGGAAGGTAGCAAGACAAAGGAAGTATTGATAAACTTATACTTATTGATGTGATCAAAATAACCATTGACCTCTGCTCAAACAGGCTTACCCTTATTTTTGTCTACTTGTGTATCTTATGTAGGGTAATGTATGACCGGTTTTGACCTTCCGACAAACTACGTTGACGATCCAGAAGCACTACTTAAGAGGACTAAGGCTAAACTCAAAAAAGTTTTAGCTTTAGAGTCGGAAGACAACCATATAAGGCGAAGCTTAACAACAGAAATTGAAGCCATGGCTGACAAGACTCTTTGTGAATTCTCTGCTCCAACCACTGCCAACATCCGTACTGGACCTAATGTCAATGTTGGAGACAATGGATTCGAGCTCAAGCCGGCTCTCATCAACATGGTGCAAGCGAGCCAGTTTTGTGGAAAGGCACATGAAGATGCTAGTGCTCATCTCCAACACTTCCTAGAGATCTGCAGCACTTTCACCATCAAGGGAGTAACCAAGGACGTCATACTACTTCGTCTCTTCCCATTCTCACTTTTGGGGAAGGCGAAGCAGTGGTTCTACGCCAACAAAGATAGAAACACTACATGGGATAACTGCTCCACTGCCTTCCTAGCCAAGTTCTTTCCCACAGGCAAGACCAATACTCTGCGTGAGAGAATCTCAAGTTTTTAGCAATAGTATGATGAATCTGTCCTTAAGGCATGGGAACGCTTTCAAGACTACATATCAGAATGTCCTCATCATGGGATGGAAAATTGGCTACTCATGCAGACTTTTTACCATGGGTTGACCAACAGTACCCGTGAGACTATGGATGCTGCTACTGGAGGTGCTTTCTTGTCACTTACACTTCTAGCTGCGACCACTCTTGTGGAGAAGATGGTCTCCAACCAAGGTTGGAATGAAGAACGTGTTCAAACCCGTAAGAGAGGTGGAGGTATGCATCAACTCAAGGAGGTAGACATGCTATCTGCCAAGATGGACCTACTGATGAAGGAGCTCAAAGACCGAGCTAATGAAAAGCAAGAAGTCATGCACATTCATGATTCACACATGATGTGTGAAGTATGTGGCAATACTGGGCATTCAGGAAACAGTTGTCCTAAAACCCAAGAGGATGTGAACTTTGTCAACAATAACTACTATCGTCCTCAACAGAATCAAGGATGGAACCAGCAATAGAGGCCAAACTATCAAGGTAACTACCAAGGTAACCCTCAAGGTAATAATTATAATAACTTTAATCAACTACCCTTGAGAGAATTAATTGCTGGCCAATCTAGACTTATGGAAGGATTATCTAAGAAGGTAGCTACCAATGATAAAATTCTAGAAAATATAAGTAACAAAATGGATAGGTTTGCTTCTGCCATTAAGAACCAGCATAGCTTTAATAAAATGATAGAATCACAAATAGCTCAGCTGGCGGCTGTTGTTCCTCCATCCCACAAAGGTAAGATTCTGGGGCAGCCGAAAGATTTAGAAACTACAAATCTTATCGATATTCATAATGCAGCTTTCTACTACACGCAACCATCAGAGGGAAGGTGGATAGATTACACCCTACCCAACAAGAAAGGTGATCTAGGGAGACCTGTCATCCCTATCGCCATTGGACCTCACATCTTTCAAGAAACTGTCTGTGACTTCGGAGCAAGTGTCAACATCATGCCTAAGGTAATCTATGATAAAATTAATGGAGATATTTTGTTATACACAAATATGCGTTTACAACTTGTAGATCAGTCACTCTGCTACCTCAAGGGAGTTCTTGAAGATGCCATCATCTGAGTAGGACAATCGTATGTTCCCGTAGACTTTGTGGTTTTAGAAACATGTGGAGATAAAAGGGCACCCATCATCCTAGGCCAACCTTTCTTGAGCACCGCAAAAGCCATCATCTACGCGAACAGTGCCAAGATCTGTTTCACGATCAAGGATAAAAAGGAGAAGTTCTCTTTCAAGAACCGCATCTTGTAAATCCACAAAAAGCATACCTGCCCGAAGAGACAACAGTGACCAAGAAGAAGAACAGCCGAAGGAGGAAGAACAAGACCAGTCAGCCACAAGAAGAAACGGTTAACATGATCAACACACTCCGATCTGAGTATGACCACCTCCTCACTTCACCATTCCTTGCTAAGAAGGATGATCCTGGAGTACCGACGATCGAGTGTACCATTGAAAAAAGAATCTTCCACAAGACCTTCTACGACATTAGATCGGGCATCAATATAATGTCCAAGGTAACATATGAATATTTATTCGGTAACAAACCTTTGTTCCCTACATATATGCAGTTGCAGATGGCAGACCAATCAATCCGATTCCCTAAGGGAATAGCGAGGGACGTTATGTTAAGAATATGAGATCACTATGCCCCTACCGATTTCATGGTCCTGGACATGGGAGAAGAAGACGATACACCCATCATCCTTGGAAGACTGTTCCTCAATAGCACCAACACGATCATGTCGATGGGGAACCCTACGGGCCCCCCATAGACCATACTGCAGGGAGGTAGGCCTTGGTAACAAGGCCTACAGCCCAATCGCCAAGAAGAACGCGGAGCAAAGCAACGTGCAAAACCGAAACTCCAACGCAAACTATACAAGGAAAGGCGCCCGAAGCTTAGCTTAGGACTCTGACCTTGTATCTGAATAGAATGCAAACAACGCCTCTCAGCGCTTGGACTATAAAGGGCTGGTGAGGGTACCCATTGTAAGAGAGAACGCATACCCGATACTCAAAGCAATACAATGCAAACAGGCTAACACCAA